AAAAAAAAAAAAAAAAGAGGACTGCTGACACAGCTGCCTTACTCTGCCTGATAGAAGGGGCAGTCCTGAAAATAAAAGAAGAATTGTCAAGAAGGTAAATCAGCTGCAGTCAACCTCACCCATGTTAGGAATTTGGAAAGGTTTGAAGAAAATCAAGGGTTTGGTGGAGATCAGTGCAGTGCTGGTTGGTGGCTTTTCTGTTGAAATAGGGTCAGCATTATGGATAACTCCTTAAACATTAACACAAGTGGCTTCCCAAACTCCCAACATTTTGGACTTAGCTCCCAGATTTCCTGGCTGCTAGCAAGTTGAAGTTCAAAACTCTTGGAGGAAAAGTTTGGGAACTACTGATTTAGACCAAACCCAGATCAAATTCACCTGACATGGAAGTCACTATTAGATCAGTGTCAAACCCAAGCAAGAGAACAACCTAGTTACTAGAGCTTTCTTTGAGGATGGGGAGGGGAAACTCTACTATGCACAAATGTCAAGAAAATCTTCCTTATGGTGGCATTTCCTCACTATAAGTAGACAACATCTTAACCTTTGGAACTTGCTTATTAGCCATAACACGAACTTTAAATCTGGGATTTGGCTAAAGAGGGCAGAAAAGAACTTGTCATTGGATGTGCAGATGCTGCATAAATTTACATGCTTGAGAATCCAGAATCCTTGTTTAAAATTAATCAGCTTTAGAGTTCTTTTCTGGATCATCTGTGATAACTAATATGTTTAGTGACTTTCATTGACTTTCATTTCTCACAGCCCGAAATGTTAACCTTCATTTTCATCGGAAAGAACAGGCTTCACGGCTTCCCTATTCAGTATCTGAAGGGAAAAAATGCCCCCCTTTAAAAAGACTTTTAAGAAAACTAATAATATCGGACATTTTTGAAGGAGGAGAAAATGATACCACTAACTAAAGGGAAGGACCCAGAATTAATAAGATACAGTTATATACAAAACAGCAAAAACAAGACACAAATCTCCTAACATGACACCTCCATATCACAAACATTTCTTTAAGAAGCAGTGTAACTGTTTGGAATAAAAGTTACATTACCAGACAACTGAAGGTTATCAAATGTTTGCTTTAACATTTTTTTTAAATGTCACTTTACCTCTCCTGATATTTGCAATGTGTACACATTTGAATCTTCTAAAAATTCTATATAGGAGTCAATTATTGTTGGAATAGGGTTAGGGTTAGGGTTAGGGAATCATGGAGACTGTATTTTATTGTGGCATCAGAGTTCTCTGACAGAGAAGACTCAATGTCTCAGGAAAAAAACAACTCCCATGATTTCCTTGCACTAACCCTAACCCTAAAAGTGGACTCAATTTGCACTATTTCTGGCCGTCTGCAACCCCCCTCAGAGGCATTTTTCCATCCCAGAACAAACTGTCATAGGAATCAAGAAACAGTGATTCTCTACCAGAATAAGGTGTGTATGGAGACACTTTATGAGTGGAGAAAGGTAATTTTCACATGTTAGTGGAGTGGTGAGTCCACTCTGTCTTTCAGACCAAAAGAGCTAGCAAAGGGGCTGATAGTATCACTGCTCCACTGCTATGGAAGTCACCAATTGGCCATTCAGCAAATTCAAACAAAAATCCACCAAACAGTGATACTTTTATTGGCCAACCGGAATGCACAATATACTTGTTGCAAGTGTTCAAAGCTCCACTGGCTTTTTCATCAGGCAAGATGTTACAAACCAAATAGGAGAAAAAAAAAATGGAGATGTTAGTAAGCTTACAACAAGTATAATATGCATTTTGGTTAGCCAATGAAGGTATCACTGTTTGGTGGTTTTTTGTCTGAAGAGGTCAGACAGGAAAAGAAACTGGCTCACTGCCATTTCCTTTCATTCTGTGTAGATGAAACTGCCTTGACTTTTCAATTGTGTTAACTTTTTTGTTAAATGCATGATTGTGTTTTGCTTTTTGTGTGATGGAGTTCTCTTGCTTCTTTCAGCATGCCTATGCCATTGCCCTGGCATGCATGTTTGGAAAAACAAACAAACTCATAAAGTAGTCATGTGTTGTGGAAAATTCCATGAAGCTGTTAAACTGTGCCACTAAAACATTAAGACACTCTAATAGTATGATGTTATGATGGCACAACAAAAGGAGGGTTTTAAAATTAAATTAAACATGCCACAAATGTTGTCTTAATTGCCACCCAAGTGCCAGAAATGGTCTGTGGATTCCCTGCAAAGATCTCTTGGGGAATCTTTGAGAGAGGAATAAGCTGGTCAAACCCATATCACACCCACATCCTAGCCACTAATCAAGTTTTGATGGAAGGAAGCACAGTGGGTGTTCTACAGCAGAAAAGGTTACTGTTTGATAATGAGAGGTTTATTTCCAGTTTGAAAAATTGTACATTTGCAATGGTGCTATGATGGTATGATACCAGGACACTAGTGATATCATTTGTGTTTGGGGAGGGAGTAGGATCCTGCAAATATTTTGGGGGCTTGGGGGCTTCATGTGGCCCATAAGTGCAACAATTCCCATTGTGTTGTCATCAACACAAGGAAATGCTTCTGAGATATTTCAGAACAAACTGGAAGTATCACTGCCCTTGGCTGCAGCAACTGCCTACAGCAGGACTAGATGGGAGCCTTACAAGAAAAAGTCTTGACTGATAATATAATGGAACAGATCTTTATCCTCTTAAAAAATG